AATGTGTCTTTCCTTCTTTTGGTTTAACTGGTCAAAGATTAAGCACTAACCTTGATTTTTCAATTGATTTGCTAGTTGAACAAAAGGTCTTTGTTTCAGGATGTTGAGGACAGCGTACATTTCCCACAGAGCAGGTGAAAGTCCATCTCCCATTGGCTTATAACAGGATCAAAGAAACTAAACTCCATGTGTACTTACGAGAGGTGGGTGGTCTCCGAGAATGGTAGAAGCTACCACTCCTTTTATGACACTGACCAAAAATCTGAATTTGAGACAAGCCGGATGCTGAGTAAGTTGTTGTTAGTGTTTTATGAAAGTCTCATTCTGTTCCTGGAAAAACTGGTCTCTGCCACAGGATCTGCCACTTTGTCCTTACCGACAGCTTCAGAGGGGCCAGAGGCAGACGAATTCCTTTACATCCCCGGGCAGCTTGCTTTGCTGTACCTGACCTGCGTATAGATTGCAGGCTAGTGCGTGGGAAAGATCCATCCATTTGACATCTATAGAAACTTCATCTGGAAGGGAGGGTCTGTTATGTAGTATGTATCGTCAGCGCCACCTGTTACGCGCCTTCCCATGTAGGGATGTCTTAGATGCTTTGCCCACCTTCTCCTCCACTACCTTCTGATAAGAGAGAGGGTCTTTGGGGCTTTCAGATTAACCTTTCACTATTCATGTATTGTATGTTTCCTAAAAGCACTCTGCAGTGAAGTCCTGCTTAGGGAACTCCTGATGTTTAGCTTGTGAAATAAGACATTTCATTGAACTGTATGTTTTGCCGGAGGGGCGTAGCTCTGCTCACAGCAGATCATTGCGTGCAGAAGAGGGAGGCCATGGTGAAGTGGGCTGGCCTTTGAGGCAGATGCTAAAGCACAGGCGCAAGCAGGTAACGCAGTGCTGTGTTGGTTTGCGTTGTACATAGCGCTTCTGGAGGATTAAAAGTTAGCAGTGTGTTTGGCGTTCAAAGAGGAGGTGTCAGCTACCCGCACGGTGGTTCTCTTGGATCCACAATTAAGTCTCTGCAATTTAGTTGGCTGCTCATTTACTGAAGAACAGTTTTTAATATTGAGGGGGATATCTCTTCTTTGATACTGTTGAAAAGTTCTGAGTGCGTGTTTGTGTAGGGAGAATAAGTGCTTTTTCCTTGCCTTTTTCAGGCTTATAAGAGTAATCAGAAGCAGACGTGACAGGTATTCAGCAGAGTGTATTTGAGCTAACTTAATTACTGGATTCATACACATTGGTGTAATTGGACTGTGGCTCTCTGTACTGCTACACTTAGGCACGTTTCCAAAAATGGTAGGAGTTTTAGTGATCAGTAGCTGAGACCATGAAGCGAGTATTCACTTCAGAATTTTTAACTGGGAGCACAAAACATTTTTCTTTTCAATTATGGCACGCTTCATAGAATCAAACTTTTTTCTCCGCAGAAGGATGGTTGGCCAGTACTGTTCAGCCTTCTGACCTTCTAGAACAGAGGCATGAACCAGTTGTGCTTCATCTAATGCATCGATTTATCACAAGCAAGTGCAAGAATTGTTGTGAATATCAAAATAAATTCCTCACTAGATTTCCTGTGACCCAGTAAAACAGAACTAAGGAAGAAAAAATTCCAAGAAGATTAAAATTCATAATACTCTAGAAAATGAGATTCTGTTGGTGACACCATTTCATATGAAGTTTAGAACAGAGCTGCTATTTTAGTTGAAGATTTAAAGCTTGCACACTTCTGATTTCCTCTTAAATACAGTGTATTATCTTTTCTTTAATAGTATCAATTTAACGTAATGTTATTCATATCTACTTAAGCTCAGGAAGCATGAAGTTTTGTATTTCAGTAATGAAAAAAAATGTTTCAGGAGATGAACGAAGTATAGTATAGCAGGGGGAAAATTGATAAGAGTTTAGTAATCTCTCTTGCTTTCTGAAGGGTGGCATTGTAGTCAGGCTTGCTGTAGGGGCCTCTCTTCTAAAAGCGGTATGCCTTGGTTTTCATGAAACCACTTGTCAGCTGTGGCTGAATGGTTATATTTGTGGGGTTGTGTTCAGATGAGTTTTGGTGGATTTTTTTGTTGTTGTGTTACAAAATCAATAATTAACTGCTGGAAAAGCCAGTCAAGTTGCAGACTCTGTTCTATACTGAATTGGAAGGGGGGAGAGTTTAGTTTTCTAATAAACAGTTTTTCAGTTTTATTTCAGTAAGGTTGAAATACTTTCTTTGATTGAGCAACATGCTTTGATTCCAGAATGAAGGGCTTCGGAAATTTTTTTCATCAAGAGCTGATTAAATCGACATTCCTGACAGACATCATGATTTCACTAATTCAGCATTTTCCAGTGAAAAACTATTCCGTCAGAAATTTAAACCAGATCTAGTAGCTAGGAACACAGACACTGCCAGATTTTTTAGCTTTTTTCTAGTAGCTTCACAAGCATTTAAATAAAATTACTCTTGCTTCTATGTAAGTCCTTATTTTCTTTTGAATTACGAACTGACTTAATGAAAGATTTAATTATTTAGGTATTGATGCCAGAGCATTCAAGGAAATAGCGCACAAATTCAGGCATAAGGTTTTGTAACTCCCACCACAGACAAGATGAGGAAAAGAATTTGGCATTTACCAATGTTGGCAATTGGATTTTAATACTGTTTCAAAATAGATTGAGATTGTGGCGGTTATTGGACCATGTATGCATGTTTTTGAGCAGGCTTAGCTTTAAGGTATATTCTGAATGTGTTTGGGACTAAAGTGAATTAAAGCAAGAAAAAGCGAGTCAGGACTAAAGGACTGGATGTCTATATGTGTTGGTCTTACCTATATATTTTCTAGGTAATTTTACTGATCAGTGTTCGGGGATTTCTTTTTAAGGAATGAGCGATTTATTGTTTACTGTAATGTGGATTCATTTCTGTAAAAAAAAAAAAATGCAAGCAGAGGGGGTGCAATGGCAGCTTAAGTAGTGGAGATTCAGGAAACTAGTTCTAAAAACCAAATATCAAGAGGAAATGCGCTTTTGTGCATTTTTGAAAAGCAAGCCCTTACTGCATCAAAGGTAGAGCAACTACCTAAAAGCTCTTTAAGCTTTAGTTTAATGGTCCATATAATGGGAGACATTAAATTTGCTTTAGCATTTATCCCTCTAGTGTTTCCAAACACAGGTCCCAGTTCTGCCAACACTTCATGGATGTTTAAAGTTTAACAGATGAAGAGTCCCATATGTCTGTCACAGGAAAATAAGGACGTTGATTTGAAGGGGTCCTGGGCTAGAAAATAATTCTTTCCAAGTTAAGTTGAAAGTACTTCTGCATACACCTGTGTATGGAGATCAAGGTGGATTTAGGACTGTTAATGTTTTCCTGTGAAAAAAATGTGAAATACAACAACCCCCACCACCACTAGCACAGGGTCTCCTCTGCTCCAGCATCATAACATGCTTACTTGATTTTAATAGATCCTGCAATACAATAGCAGCATAGGGAATTTGTCGATTGAGAAGGGAAGAGATGGAAAGGGGAACTTTTTAATGGGATATTTTCTGCCTTAGTATGGGTTGTGAATGCTGATGCCACCTGACAGAAGAACTGATTGCAGTAAGTGGAAGGGGATTTTATGTGGTGGACATAATCACTGCATCACTATCAGATGGGTGACACTGCTAGAATACAATCTGGAATATTTCAGACAGGAAACAGCAGAAAGAGATTTCTTGGATTCAGAAAGTAGAAGTACTGAAAATATAAGTAATGTTCATTTGATCATCTTGCCTCTGATGCAACTGCTAGATGTTTTCCTTTCATTCCATAAAAAGTCATAAGAAAATCAAGATGACCACTGTTATATTCATTCTTACAGGTTTTTTTTAATATTCAAATCCTTTTCCAGGAGATGACAAATGTGGCAGTTTGCACAGTGTTAGGCTGAGAACCTCAAGTTACCCCAGTGCCCCGCCTTCCCTCCCTTACCCTTTAGAGGATTCTGCAGCATTTGGCAGAGTATCAAAAACCAATGGAAGCCCTTAAAAATGTCAGTACTTTGGGGTTACTAGTGCTAGTATCCAGTAAGCCTGAAAGTGGCATCAACAGCAGTATTTCCCTGCAGTGTTTTTGTAGCTTATTCTGAAGCACAGACTACTGTTGACTGCTGCCCTGTAGTATCACATTCAATTCTCCCCTTCTGTCTTTCTGAGCTCAGTATATTGCCTGCACTCTGCTGCTTATTCCTGCCCATTTTCACCCTGCCTTTTGCCTTAGTGTCCTGCTACATCACACCTGCAAGTTCTGTGCAATCCATCATTTTACCGTACATACTTTAATAAGCCTTGCAAATAAGCAGCTAAATTAATCTTTCTTTGCACCTTTCCTCTTTCTAATAATTCCTTTTACTACCTATTAATCAATCCTCAATGCATCCCTCTCCGTATTTATTGCTTTGTATCTTCTTTTGTTTGTATTGCTTATCTGATATTTAAATTATAACAAGGTAAGGACTTTGCCCTCTTGCTTTGTGTAAGTACACGGTGTGCTCAAAATGTTTAATATTGTGTCTTGCATTAAAATGTATAAGCTCAAACTGTCTAGCGATATCAACACTAAGAATCTTACTAAGACTAAGGGGATAAATGGAGGAGAACCCTGTATTTAGTCTGGTATTAGTTTTGTTTGTGCATCTATATGCCTGTTGTGCTGGAATGGAATTTTAAGAGGTGTTTGTTTGTCATAGGATATATCAGAATAATGATTGGAAATGGTTACATTTTCTCTGGAAACTTTGACAACTGTTTACTGGCCCTGATTGAAGGGTATTTTTGCATTCTTTCTATTGTGCGCCGTAGTCCATAAGTGGAGGTAAGTCATATTGAGACTCTCTGAAGTTTGTAGGAATTTTTTTCCCCTTCTCATGTTGAAGAGTGTCACTCAGATTTTTTTTTTTTTCTTTTCGTCTAATTTGAAGGAAGTGAGTAAAGGAGAAGTTTACCTTTGTTTCTGTGTATCCTTGCAGACTTGGCCATCTAGAGATGCCTCCTTTCCATATAAAACTCAGTTACCGTGTATGGTGCCAGCCTCCACTTTCAGCAGTAGTGAGTACAGAGCGGAATCTAAAATACTAGATTATGTGCAAGAGCTGGACTCTTCCTTCCATCCGGTCTTATCATTCCCTTCAGGTAAGTAACTCAAATGCAGTGCCTCTAACAGAGGGTGGTTGTGCTTGTGAGAGCTGTGCCGTTTATGGACTAACTTTTCTTTTGAGTGATGTTTAGAACTTAGTTCTCCTACAGAAAACTTCATGCTGGCAAAATACCTGAGTTTAGACTAAATGAAAAACTTAAGTTCATCCTGACATTTGAAAAATACACTTTCTAGATTTCCCATACAAGTAACGTGATTACAACAAAGAAAAACTGGTCGGGGGGAACATTTTTGGTTAAGGTGGTTTTTACCTGTTTCATGGTGTGTCTAATAGAGTCAGCATTAGTCCTTTAGATGGTGCTTTTGCCAACACACTACCATACCTCGGTTGTGTTGTCTTCATGAGCAACTTTCAGTTCAGGCCCTTTGGCTTTATTTAGTTTTTCTAATGGTTTTTGTGATAGTCAGCCTTTTTAGTGATCTTTGAAGTTTATGGTTTCTGTCACCTGATTCTTTAATCTTTTTGAACAATAATGCAGGTGATGTTTTTTCTGACTCTTATTAGCCCTGAAACTAGTGCAGGTGCAGCTTGACAGCACTTTGTGCTTCAAAATAGCATATTAAGTATTGTTACCAGCAGAAGGGATTGGATACCAGCAGATATTACTGGATTTTGGTTTGGTTTTTTGTTTTAGGAAAAACCTATGGCCAGGCAGTTGCTGACCAGTACAGGAATTCTGCTGTTCTGGGGGGCTTCTTTGCCACAAAATAATCCTGAACGTGAGGCTGGAACCTCCATGGAACTGTTTGAGTCTTTAATCAAACCCACTGTCTTCCCAGAATGACAGTGTATACACTCCAACCTGGTATTAGGAAGTCAAGGATTAAAGTAAGTCTTGGGTTTGGAGAGCTCGTCACTGGCCAGTAGAGAAGACCCAAGTGTGGACATGGAATCCTGAGAAGGTCTCAACTCTTGCAGGTTTATGAGGGCTTACATCCCATGTAAAGAGGAGTTTATTCTGAGGAGCAGATAGGGGAAAGAAAACACTCACTCCAGGAGTGCAACAGCAAACATTGCAGCCTGCAGGACTCTGTTGTGGAGAGGAGAGAAAAACACTTCTTAAGTCTTTCTTCTTTACACACGCTCTCTGTCACTTACCCTGTGACTCTGACAGCCCAGCTGGACAGGAGCCAGGGGGGTTAGACAGTCGTTCCCAAATCCCTGCAGAGAGCTGTCCCCACACACTTCCTGGGTGACTGCCAGCTTGTCTCACTAATCAGATTGTTTCCTTGCTTCCGCTTCTATGCGAGGTTCACTGTACCACAGCGTATATGTTTTGGGGTGGGTTTTTTAAGTATTTCTTTTCAAGTCTGTTCAAGGATAGTTCATATAAGGCCATGCCCCTTGCATTTATTCCTGCCTTACTTTTAAGGGAGACTAAGTAGTTTAACAAGAATATTGAAATACTCTTCCCTTGAAAAAAGACTACTCTAATCATCATGAAAAGAAAAAAACTGAAAGGCTCTGGATCGCATCGTGACTCCTATTGGTCACTTTGCCAGGATGGAGGAAGAAAAATGTTATTTTAGCTTCATTCCGATACCAAGAACATCTTTCTTTTGAGGAATATTTATTCTCTTTTCAAGCAGTCTTAGCCTTGCTAATAATAGTTGAGACAGGAAAAAAGTGCTAGACTTACTATCTCCTGCTCAGATGCAGTCCTTGTTTTTGAGGGAGGCTAGATTCATGGTCTAGTCTGTGCTTTCTGTACTTTGCTGTCTTTACCTCCTCATGAAGACCACTAGTCTATTTGTCATTTTCTTTCATATGAAAGAATTATCGTGAATAAATGCATGCTGGAAATTTTCCAACTTGGTCAGGTAGCCTGATTCAGTTCATGTTTTCTTTGCAGTTTCCTTAGTTACCCTTTCTAGAGGGATAATTTCTCTTAAAATACTACTTGTGATGTGCCCACGTCTTTTACCATTTTCTTCTGAATAAAAAAAAGCTTTTCAGTAGTGTAGAAGAAAAGGTTCTTGGTTTAATTTCCTCTGATTTTTTAAAAAATATTATTGGTATTTGTTCCATTTTGAAACTCTGGGAGTTTAATTTTTCAGTGTGTGAGGAGGGATTCAAATTCAAGATTCAGATCTTGTTCTCTCTTGTACCTATTTTTTACTTTCAAAGGAGAATCATAATTTGCAAGCAATATAGTAATACATTGCAGTGGGATTGGCTCACCAGTGTATGGGCTTCTGGAAGTATAATTGTCCTTACGGTTCTAAGTCTTGCCTTCAGAGTTTCCAAATTACTGAGGGTCTTGACCAGAAGCATGTCAGTGGTTGCAGCATCCCTTGAGCATAAAAGCACCTCTTTAAATTTGCACCCCGATAACTGGAAAATTGTAGTTTGCAATGTAGTTTGGGTTTCTGGTATTTCTGCACCTAGGCTGTGGATAAACTGGAACAAACACTCCTGCCCTTTTAATTAAGATACAGGAGCACGTAATAAAAAAATCTCTGAGACATCCAGGTGATTCCCCAGGAAAAAACAGGAGAAATGTTTTGTGTATTTCTTTACTTAAATGTTGTGACTAATAAACCTTTCAGACCTACTCTGTTTTACTCAGAAGTAGAATAGGAAACACAGCAAAAACCTTGGGGGAAAACAACCTTTTACAGGTCACCTTTAGTCTTGTGACAAAATATCTAGTTAGATCCCTATGAAATTGAAATAAATTATTCTTTTTAGTTAGCAAAATATGTTGAAAGTGTCTGTCCAGGCAAGTCCTGAAGGCACATGAGGCTAAGGTTGTATGTAAATAAAAATAGTTTAATGCCCACCCTTTCGCCCTGCCCTCAGACCTCTTCTCGTTCTGAATGTAAGAGTCGTCAAGCCTGCTTCTTACATTGACATATTTCCTTCTACTTAATTTCTCTTCCTTCTTGTAATATTGTTTCCGGAAAGGCTTTTCAGACAGAGACCTATTTTTCTTAAGCCTTCCTGCCTTACAACAGTGGGTAAATTCCGTACCACTTGAGATGTTTTGTAGACTAATTCTTGGTTAGAACTCCCTCGGGAAATGAATTACATTGCCCTGCTGTAGCCTTTGCCAGAGAGAGAAAGAAGGAATGTACCTTGAAATTACCTCTAGGCTCCCAGCAGTAATAATTTCCAAAAGCATTAATTACCTGTACCCAAAAGGCTGAACTGAAGGCTTTTCAGATTACAGGAAAAGTGCACTGTGTGCTCTCCACCGTGTGGGGTTTCGTGCAGGAGTTAGTCAAGAGGGGAAGATCCCAGTTTTACTCTCACTTGATACCCTCCAGAGCTTGTTTTCGTGAAGAACAATTCTGGAGTAATTCCAGCTACGGACATAGTTTATTCCAGAGTAAGATAACCTTGCTCTTTCTTACTTTGACTTTGAACACCAAAAGAAGTGCTGTTAATATACTAAGTGTGTGTGTCTGCACTGGGATTTGTTCAGGAGCATTCCTTAGGTTTGAGTCCTATTTTGATCTGAGTTGTCTTGTCAGCCCTTAGAAGCTCTTGGTGCTGGAGAGCTTGGAACCACTTAAGCATACTGCCTTGGTCAGCACGTGTGGCAGTGTAGCTTCACAGCTAAAAATGGATTTGTTTTTACCATGGCATAATTCTCACTTCCCGTTAATAGAAAGATAGGTACCTTGAGATCCTACCTCCAGGCGATTACTGGAGATTACCTTGTATACTGCTGAGGTAACTGATAGAAAAGACTACAGTTCTTTGCCTATAGTGGAGGATAGCACTCATACAATAAGCTATCTTGCTGAGAATTACCTTGCCTCAAGTTTTCTTATTTACTCATGCAAAAATCACTTCTTTGAAATGTCTGGCTGGGCTTTTTTGGGATATTGTCATTGAGTTTTCCTTTGGCTCTCACCAGTTTCAGGACATTTTTCCTATATTGTCTTCAACTTGACTGTGTGAAGACGCTGCTATAAAAACAAGCGATCGATCCTTGCAGGATTTACTCAGCACTGCCGATCTTCATGAGTTGAAGGACTCAAGGCAGCAATATTGCTCATAGATTATATTACATAGTGTTGTGTAATCGATTCCTAGACCTTTAGTGATGATGCATAATTCATTGGCTCATAGGTTGCCATCTTTCTGATATAGACTGCATTCCCTTCGGATTTCTTTTTTTTTGTTAGATACTCCTCTTCACATATACTTTGAAACATTATTAAGGAAGGATGACATCAAAGGAGAACCTGCTGATACCTCATCTTTGGGAGTGGAGTTTAAAGTGTCTCCAGACAATGGTATGTAAAGCAAAATATTTTAATATTTGCAAGACTGTTTTTCATTCATTCGCCAGTACTTTCTGCCCTGAAGAGGTTCAACTTACAAACTTACCACAAAGCAGGTTATCAGAGAAAGTAACGGGCTAAGACTTTAGGTGGAAGAGGAATCTCTTCCCAGACCACAGCGTCAGGTTCACTGAAATGTTGCGCTGAAATGATCCCATCAGAGCCTTAGGAGGGCAGTAATACAAGTGGGGGGAGTTTGGAGCGTGGGTTCTCTGCAGACACAGGTGCCTGACTGCAGTACTGCTTACTATTTGGATTCCTCTCAGAAGTCTGTTTTTTTCCATTATAAATAGTTCAGCAGTTGAGATTGCCTGTAAATTGCACCCATGGAAAATAAGTTTTCAACTTAATAGGTGCTTTTTCTGTTGTAGACTATAATCAACATAACGTTTCTGTCAAACAATGGAGCAGCGGCTGTTTATCTAATTCCAAATCTCAGTCAGTGTCAGGAACATCTGACCAGCTGTCAGAGGGAAGAAAGAAAAGACATCTAAGTGAGACAGCAGTAGGTAAGAGAAAAATGGTATTGTTTAAGATGGCACTACCTCTTTAAAAATATGTACTGTATAAATTAGTTTATCACTGGGCTTTGAGAATTAATTTTAAGTTGTCACCAAAAAGGATACTGTATGAAACTTTACAGGAGTGAAGAAAGGGACTTACGACACCACGAAAATAATGTGCTATTTTAAAGCATAGTAATCTTTCTCTTTCTTCTTGAGTATATATTACAAAATGAGACAAGCTTCTCTATTTTATTTTTGGAATACTCTTACAGGAAACTGCTCAGCAGTCCAGCTGTGTTTTTCTAATACTGGGTGTCATTATTTTTAATATGAAGGGGTTTTTTTTATAGTAGTCAGTGAAACAGACTGAATTGCAAAGTTATCTGTCAAATCATGTGCCTAACCAAACATTTACTATTCCTGGCATCTTTGGTCAGCTATGTTTCGTTTGTTGTATACTGTCATTTGTGGTTCTGGTTTCCTTCCAGACTGTTAAGAGGACTTGTGGGTACCCAGTGCTTATAATTAGTGTGTTCACCCTTGTTATCTTTATATTTTAAGCCATTGAATCTCTACTTCAGCACTTGGTAAGTTAATAGAAAAGTGCCCTTAAAGTTCTGTAGAATAATGTGATAATTTAGGGACAAAAAATTCAGCGTACCATTGTAAAGATAAATAGCATCTTACCTCTCCAGGATATTAGAATGTAAAACCTAACAGATTCTGTTACAGATTCATTTATGTGAACTTTTGGAAAACTTTTGGCAAAATTCCTCACAAGACAGTTGAAGGAAATAAATCGCTGAGTAAGAGGACAAACTATATTAGTTTAAAATTTCGCCTAAGAAAGAATTAAAAGATGTAAGTGATCAGTTAACATTGTGGAAAAATACACTTCTGTTGCATATCCAGGTAAAACTGCTAGTGTAATCTTGCAATAGAGGTGGAGATATGGCAATTACTGCAGAGATGATTTAACAAAAAATTATGATCTATTTTAAAAAAAAAAACCACAACCCCAAACCAAAAAACTCTATTGATTAGAAAGTTATGGGAGAGAGTAAAAGGTGGTTTTGGACAGACTAAAAACTGTCTCTGATTTAAATGAAGTTTTTTTCTATGCATCATTCCCCTCGTGCATTACAGTCCTCCCCTTTGCTGTACAGTCTTCTCTTATGCTCTGTGCCTCTCTCTGCGGGGGGTTCTGTGCCCTGTCCCCTCTTGCCATCAGTGATCCTTTTTTTCCACGTCACCCTCTCCCCTAACCAGTTGCTGGTCCGCAAAAGGCAGATGCTGACACAGTGTTTCTTGCAATCACATTGTTTCCCCAAGTGTACAGTCATGCACACAGAGATCAACAAATGTGGGAGTTACTTGGGAGCACTAGTAAGAGAGAAAACTTCTTGCTATAAACCTTTTGAAGTTGCAATTAGCCTTTTGCCAATATTATTTAGTTCTTTGAGTTAAGGGAAGAAAAAAGCAATCTTTTTATCATGAGGATCGTAGCTTCCCAATGCCAGAAAACTGCTATGTGGTATATTTGTGAGCAGCAGCAGAAGTTCTAGCTTATTAGTGCTACGGGTATAGTACTACATATTTATTCCTAATTTGGGCTCTGTCTAGGAGAAATTATCCATGGGGAAGGTCAGCCTGATGAACAAGGCCAAAAATAAAAGCTGTGTGCCAGGGAGTTGCAGAGCTGCCTGGGAGATGAGAGTTCATGTCCTTGACCCAGCCTGTGCAATACAGTCTTTAGGATCAGTCTTACCTCTTTTTCCATGTTGGAATACACTGATTCTTTTTATTAGTTGGCATATTAAATCTGAGTTCTCTTTTCTTACTGGAAATTAAGGTAGAAGGAAAGCAGGACACAGGTGGTTAAATTCTACATCCCCCTAAATGCTGCTTAAACTGGGACTGAGTAGGCGTAAACAAGAATTACAATTTGTCTGGAGCAGTGGACCACATGGAGATCCAGAAACTAATTTTATTTGTTACCCTTGCTGCCAGTTTTGTCTTATCATTTATCAAGGAAGAAACCGTCAGTGAGGGCTTAATGAACTGGTACGTTGGTGAGGTGCAGCCCAGCTAGGGAAACGCTGTTAGGGAACCCTGGGGAGCGTTCCTCTAAGTCCGATTGCATTTGCTGTGTGTGTAGTCTATGGCAGTTTCTGAGAAAAGAAGTAGGATTTGCCCTTATGAAGCTGGTTCCATGAGAAGAAATCCTTCGTAGAAGGAGAGGGATGAGTTTTGTGGAACAACAATGACAGGATGAATAACAAGTGTTTACTTAGATGGCTTTTTTTAGTATTCATTAAATTGTAAGTGGTTAGCTGTGGACTTCTACAAATGACTTTACTATTACTGTATGGAAAAATATCTTTAGTCTAATGGACAACAGCTGGTATGCATTTTTTTATTATTATTTTTTGTGACAGGCGAACGTAACGCTAGGTTTGAGACATTCTCCTTTCAACATGCAGAACCAGAATCCCATAGCAGTTTTGCTGCCGTGACCAATGTCAGCGCGATGTCTAGGCCCACTCATAGCACTTCATCACAGGTAAACCAAAAATGTAACACTGTCTTAACTGAAATATCCACAGAAGTTGTGCAAATTAATAATCCAAAACCACATGCCTTTTACATCTAATTTAGTGTTAAATTATAGTACAAAGCATTTTTACAGTGAATTAAGTGGATTACATTAAGTAATTTATTCCAGATTGGGTATGTGGTGTTCCTAAAACAGATAATTGCTTGTAAAAGAATTTTGCAGATCATATAACTGGAGTGTACGTTCGGTTTACTGCCATTGGGCCTTCTGTTTGGTTTTTTTCCCCCCCCCTAAATTTCATTAAATATACTGTGATTTATGTTCCCAATTTTACACAAGAGCTCTTAATGACCCTTTTTTCTTGGTGCAGCTACATAAAATGGCCTCAGGGTGCAAATATAGTCACAGAATTTGTTAACTCTCAGCTTCACTATTTAAAAACTTTTCTGCAGAACTACAGGCAAAGTTTCTGGTATATAAATTTGCTGAGGAGCAGCACAGCTCTGGTTCAGTGAATTCCCTGCAGAAATACACTTTGTTTTATTGGAATTCGTTGAGAATTTCATAATAATATTACGATTTCAGTCCCACAGTTCTGCTAAGCCTAGTGGTATACTGGTGCTCTGTAAGTTGTCATGTTTCAATCTCGTGATGACTCCTGGAGAGCTGAGTTTAAATCTGCATCCCCAATGTAGTTTTGACAATGCACGCTCCTCCTTTTTTCCCTTGCTTGAGTAGACCATTGTCAAAGAACACCTAAAGGAGCATTTTAGAATAGACTGTTTCCATTAACGTTCAGCTAAAAATTGAGATCTTGAAATATGGAATGTATCATGATTTCAAACTAAACTTTCTCCTGTAATCTAGGAACTTCCATGTAGGTTCCATGCACTAGTGGGCAGAGACCACCACCAGGAATCCTGTGATCACAGCAAAGAAATTCAGTTACTGTCTTTTGCATGTCTTTCAGAAAACCACTTTCCATGTAGGCTGTTCTTCACTGCTAAGTGTAGCTTCATTCTTTTGGAATTCTTAATTGTATCATGCTGAAGAACCACTTGGGTTACGGGTTAGTAGGTAGATTATAGAAGGTCATCTTTGTAGACTGAACATCATGAAGAAGGCACCATTAACTTCTTCTAAGTTCTCATAAGTATTTCAGAATTAACTGTATGTGAAATCAAGGAAGGGAAACTCCCACTGATTTCAGTAAGAGTTACGCCAGCAAGAAGTAAATCTCAGAGATGAGAGTTTTAAGATTTGTTGAGATTCCATCCGGGGGAGGGGGAAGTCAGAAGTCATTAAGCCACTAGAAAATGTGTTCCAGTTACAGACTTTCTCCTCGTGCAGTTCTAATGTTTCTTAGCTAACATGTAGTTCCTATGATTTGAGCTGATGAATCTCCTCTTGTATTGATTATATTATACAGCATAACTCCAGGAGGAGATTGAGAAGTGAGAGCTCCTATGACATAGACAACATTGTTATTCCAATGTCGCTGGTGGCACCATCAAAGTTGGAGAAACTACAGTACAAAGAAATCCTTACCCCAAGGTTTGTCATGACCTCCTTAGTTGTGAAGAAGATACCAAAATGAACATGAGAATGTTAACTAAGAATATCGTTAACGTGTAGTTAGATAATTTTATAATATTAAGATGATCTTTTCATGCGCTCAGGTTTTTTTTTTCTCTATACTTCAATTTGTGTGACTGGAGTGGTGGGAGGACTGGACAGCTGATAGCACAAGGGAAATAGTCTGATACACACAGGGAGGTGGCAGATGCACAAACTGGCTCAAAACAGAAGTGGGTTTATATCCTCTTAATTGTAGTGATGTTCGTGGCCTTAAATGTGCCATTAGGCTGACGTGCTCTGAACGATTATTTGGAGGTTGCTGTCTTTTTTGTGTGTTATGGTTCATAAGAAAATAGTTAACTATTTTCAGTGAATTCAACAGAAATGGTTTTAGCATATATTTTTAAAATTTATCCATTCTGATACAGTAGAATAAGCTTAATTTTTTCCATACAATGTGAACCTATAATCCATGATTCTAATGATTCTAGAGACATGCCTTTTTTTTTCTTTTTTTTTTTTTTTTGGTAGAAAAAGAATATCTTTAGATTGCTAAAACAGGGTAATTGGTCTCCTGTGCTGTAATTCAGTGGCTTACTAGCAAATTGCCTGAAATGGCTAAATGCAATTGTTCCGTATTTTAAGTCTCTAATTTGTATTTGCTTTTATATTATCTTTAAAGCTAAAAATACTAAGACTCTATTGGATAGCTTAAAGACTGTGTTGGGAAAAGGAAGGTTAGATACTGGGTTAGGAAAGGAAAATCTAAATTTCGGAAAATCTAAAAATCTGTTATCAGCACCTTAAATTTGAAATTATTTTATTTGAAAGAAATTTTGAAGCATGAGCAGTGTTGAAGAAGGAGTAACTAAAAATATAATGAAACAGCATTTAGGTAAATTAATTTGACTTTCTTTGTCTCATTTCTAGCTGGAGAGTTGTTGAATTTCAACCTTTAGAAAGATCTCATACAGATGAAGAAGAGGTAGGCTGTATTTTAATTAAACTACCAGTTTTTAATTAAACTAGATATAATTGGGATAATTGGTATATATTTTGCAAAGTCACTGACTTCATGCAAATCCTAGTAAGTTTCAGATTTCAAAAATGAAGTATTAAGTATCGGATTGTGAAAATGTATCTTATCCCAACCTACTTGACCGTATGGTGGGTGACAGAAATGCGAGTATCTCCATTAATAACCATTGTTCACTTGTTCGTTTGGCTCTTCTGTCCCTCGCTGTCAGCACGGGCAGCGCTCCCAAAGGGTCCCTTTGGGCAGGCCTCCGCCTCCCCTGCTCCTGGGCACTGTGATGCTGGTCTCCCAGTGTGACTGTCTCTTCGGGACTACCTGTTCTATAATGTCCGTCCTCTCTCATCTTCTTCTTTCACGGCCAGTTCCCATGGCCTGTGGCTCTTCAGGAGGTAATTTGGCATTTTGCCTGTGGGCCCAGCAGGTTTCCTCAGTTTGCTTCTCAGTGTTCGTTTTCCTGCAACCCTCCTGTTGGGAGCAAACTTTTCTTCTTTCTGCTTTGTCAGGAACAAGTAACCTTCAGCATTTCCTGCTTGCCTGTTGAGCTAAGTTTGCACTTCATGTGCTATTATTGCTTCCTCCAGACGTAAGAATCTACCTTTTTCTTCCAGGGAATGTCCATGGACTTTGCAGCTGGGGGTTCCTTTCTCCCCTAATCAGGGGTTCAAGGCATTTCCTAACCCCAGTGTGAACGTACCAGCCGGTCTGGTCTCTAGGTTGGTTTTCTGTCCTTCCCATCTTTTTGTGGCTCCTTTTCCAGAAACCTGCCAGTTTTGCTGTCCGTTGGACATCTCTAGTCTCCCTCCAGTCTCTGCTATAGGCCACTATCAACTGTTGTAATGTAGGACTTCTATTTCTACCTTTATACACAATAGCTGTTCTTGAGCTCCTTTTTCAGAGAATCTCTACAACCAGGGTTTGAGTGCCTTAGCAGTAGAAAAAGATTGCATTTGGGTAGCAGTCCCTGCCTTTTCACATGCACTTGAGAAATTCTTGTGAAATCTGGAGGTCAGATTTATGTCACCTACACCACCACCTTTTGGTTTGGTACTATCTCTGCCAGCAGGAAACATGCCTGATCTTCTTTTGTAGTGAGAAGGTCAAATTACATACATAGGAGAACTCTCCTGCAAGGATATTTAATTAAACCATTTGGAGAATAACTAATAAGGCAGCAAGGGCGCACTGTCCCTTGAGAACCTACTGTTCCTTGCTCTCTCTTCATTCTGGTATCTGTGGGGGAAAAAAAAAGAATTTCAACAGTGATTTGCCTTCAGGGCTTCAAGAGACTTGCTTGGAGGACTCTGGATTTCTTGTTTAGATTTCAGATCCCATACGGATGACTTGTCTCACATTCTTTTAGCGTATTTTGCTGCACGGACTTCAAGGTGTCTCTTTGTGAAGTTCATGGGCTAATCGCTCGTTTAGTAGCCCTCCCAGTACGTTTGTGTTTGGCATGACTAGTTGATCCTGTATGATTCATCCTTTGGCCAGGAAATAACTTGAGTTAACAATAAAGCAGCTTTTGCCTCCTGCTGTGGTCCAGTGCTTCTGTATTGTCTGTCAGCTGCTGGTAGAATGAGAGAGGAGAGATGTCAGACAAGAAAAAAATGCTAAAGATCTTGTTTGTCTAAATCAACCTTTGCCAATTTTCCCCCCTTCTTTTGGGATCGTGTTAATTGGTTTGGATGTTTTTCAGAGTACTGAGAAAAGGTGGTTGTCTGATCATAATTCTTCCACTTCCTTGCTTTAGGTTTTAGGCCGAGATAGATTTGTTACTAAGTTCGAAAAAAGACATGAGAAAACAGCAGCATTACCTTTTTGCATTTTCTGCACTCACACTCTGATGCTCTTGAAATTGTTCCTTGTACTGAAATCAAGGCAAGCTTCAGCAGATCACTTGTGAAGGACAAGAGAGTGCAAAATGTACTTTCTGCTTTTATATGAAGTAAGCTTTTTCTTTGCTTTCCACTGCATAGCAGCCTGTGGTGGTACTGTATAATAGTTTCTTTTCTATCTTCTTTGCCTATCTTCTGCGTGGCTAAATTTAAAACTTTTGGAGTTGTCCTTGTGTCAAGCAGAAGTTGGGGATTTCTTCCACTTGTTATCTTTTTTTTTTTCCTTTCCCTTCTCTCTCTTCTTCATTTAAAGACTTTCAATGCAGCAACCTGGATCCGTGCAATAGGCTTGCACCCAAAGTTTCCACAAGTTACAAAAAAATATGGGGTCCCAAATTTGTCATGTTCTACAGGAACACCACTTCCAAGGATGGGAACTCAGCACTTTCTGAAAATCAGGCCTATTCACTGTGCCTTTATTTAAGTACAAAAAGCTTACCTTTTTTGGGTGCCTAATTTTTGTTTCTGGAAATTTTGCCTTACAAGGACAAACGTAACAGTTGGGCAATGCAAAAGTTAATCTACTATCTATGTCTGCTCAATTACTTGCTCTAAAAATACTTAGATTTTGGAAATACAGCGTTTGAGTTTCCTGGTTTGCATGTGTGAATTTGCAGTCTGTTACTGCTTTAAGGCATGGGAGGGTGTGGCACGGGTTTTCCTGTTTTATTTTGGTTTTAATTTGTTTTGTCCAGGTTAAAGTTTCTGGCAAGGCATGGTTGTAAAGTAACGTTCAAGTTTATTTTGTAGTTGCTTTAGTAATGACAAATACTTTGAAGTAATTCTGTGTGTAACTAGTTTTGCATAAGTGTTTTCATGGCTTATGACTCAGTGTTTCCCGTGAAGCCAAAGACTGAAACACAGACTTTGTTGTTTTGAGAACCTTTCAGAAATATTCCTGGTGCTATTCAACATTAATGCACAGTGTCTTGTAGCTTAACTAGATACGATGGGGGGAGTCCAAATCTTAGTTGGCTTTAAGTCTTTTTCTTTGAGTGAAGTCGTTAGACATGCCTCACCAACAGGCCTTCCTAATAGTCTTTTTTCTCAACATCACTGCCAGATCCATCCACTGAGGAACGACAGTTCTTCTGTCCTTTTTCAAACTAACCTTAGTCGGGGGGGGGAAATACCAAATTTTCCAGTTATAGCAACTTTAAATTAACCTAAAGTTGGTGGAGGAAATATATATAAAGTGCTACAAACCAGGAGAGGGGCAGAGGCTGTACTGAACCAAGTAGAGACCTTTTACTCTGATGTAATGTGATTTTATCCATAGAACAAAGAGTAATTTTTAAATAAGAAAATGTATTACTTGGTAGTTTTCAATGCAATAGGGTAAAACTCATTTTAAATAAACAAGCAGTTAAATCTGCTATCATCAGCTGTGCAAAAGGAACAGTAAGGCTTATTTCTGTATTTTTCAAAACTCTTTGCTTAGAGAGGAATGTGGACTTTGATTTTTGAAAGGAAGCTTGTTAAAATGAAGTTTCTTCCCAGCATGAAAAGTTTTGGCAATTTGCTAAGAAAAGTATTTTCAAAGTCTTAAGTTTTTCTTTCAAAATTATCTTTTGTTTCCACTTCAAAGGAAATCTGAGCACACAGAAAAATCCTGAATTTTCCCTGAGGGAATAGCACTTTTGTAGTTAATAAAATTCTCACTTTCACGCTATACATCATTGACCTTGGAAAGACAGAATCTGAACTGAGATGCAGCCCCGTACCGATGCCATCCAAGTGACAGAGCTGGTGAATTCCAGAGAGAGGAGGAAACCCATTAAGTTGGCTTGCATGAAAGGAAACCAGCAGCTAACAATGTGGTTTGTGTTTAACATAAATAAATAAAAACAATGAGGAGTCTTCAAAAAGCAGTCATGAGATGGGCAAACAGGCCTGTTTGTCTGAAGGTTCCTGTTGAGTGCTGGGCTGGGGAGGAATCAGGCAGCGACGGTTTTACCAAGCAGGTCGTGTGGCCGATTCTGATCATGCCGAAGTCTTTGGGATCCTTTTCATTGGCCCAGTTAAATTTCATTGTGGGGCCGCAGTTCATGACTGGGTTGGAAATGTGCTCTCTGGCAAGCTGAGTGCCGCTACCAGGTCTGCTTACAGCAGCATAAATGCATTGTAATACTTTGCATTTGTACCCATAATGGTCGTGAACTACCTCGGTGCTGCAAGACTTGATACAAAGGATGGCTTCTGCAGAAAACCTCAGGACCTTTAGTTGTCCGGAGTGGAGTACTTCCAGCTGACAGTGTAACCTATATTGTATGGCTCTATCTGGCGCTACAGTGAGGACTCTGCGTTTAGTTCTGTATTTTACCAGACTCAAGCGGAAGATAAATGGTGTTACTTGTATAACGCCACTGAGGATTTTGCTTTATAGAAAAAAGTCGATTTATTTTCCATGAGCCCCCGGATTATTGGTATGATTCTTGTCCAGGACTGATCTGGCAGTGCAGCTTCACAGCTTCTATGACCAGGAATTGTTCTTCCTAGAATTTCTCTGCTTTTGAGTTGGGAGTGGCTGGCATAAAATCCATGGCTGCAGCACTCGTATGCTCTCTCCAGCCTTAGCTTTTTAGGTGAGCTTTGAAGAGGTTGAATGGTTTGGAGCACTTTGAAATAACTCGGAGCTGTGCTGGAGGGGTCCAGCCAAGAGCTTGTCCTGCCATCTGGGGAGTGAGGGGGGGAGGGCAGCAAAGCGCTCCTCGCCCAGCCGTGTCTGAGGAGCAAACTTGCCGGTGTGCTGCCAATGGGAAAATGAAGACGGCTCTTTCAAACTGAAGGTCAGATGGGATAGCTACAGCTGAGGAGTTTTACCTAAAAAGCTGGCTCTTGTTTGAGTACGGGCAGTTAAAGTAGTCATATTAGGGCCGTTTTTAAGCTATACCGGGGTCATGCAAATCATTTGCTAAGAAATAGTCTCTTCAAAGCAGAAACCATTTTCTCCTTGGTTTCGTACCAGGAATGCGGCACCTCAGGTTTGCTGAGTTCCTCTCAATGTGGAGCTATCGAAGTCCTTGCTGATCTCAGGCCTATTTCTCCATGCTTAAAGAGCACCTGGCAAATCCTGCAGCCTCCTCCTAAAGCAGTCTCTGGAAACTCCTGGAATTTTTGCTTGTCTTCATTGTGTGCTTTTAGTACTGCCTTGATTTGCAAATGAATACTTGTCCTCTTAATTTTCTGCCTCTCACCATAGAGAAAAATGTGTTAGTTGCGTGGGGGGTATAATTCCTATATCCGTTCAGATCAACCACAGGCATGTAAACAAATAAAGTGAAAGTGACGGCATCCCATATACTAGAGCTCCAGTGAGAGTGTAAGCTGAATGCATGTATTTTGATGTGCCTTTATACTGCAAGCATGCATTGTGCTGGCCTCCTCTTGTTGGTGAAGAGACCTTCGCAGAATTGTATATAATATTGGCTGCCTTTGTTTCTAGTGATGTTCATAATTATGGCAGCAGCTATCCCTGTATTTCGTTACAGATAGAAGATCTGTCAGATGAAGTTTTTTCCTTACGTCATACAAAGTATGAAAAAAGAGAGAGAGCAAGGTGGTCGCTGTGGGAGCAGAGCCGCTGGCCCAGAAGGAATAGCAGGCAGGTGTATTGACTTTGGTAAGAGTGTTCCTACTGAACCACTGGTGTCGGCTGTTGGTGCAGCAGTTTCAGAAATGCTGTCACAGAGAACTTTGAAAATGAGGGCTCTCCTCATTAATTAACTCGTCAGGGACAGCACCAGGTATGTTTGGTTTTGTGGCTGGAAAGGGAAGGCTGTGCAGTTCCAAAGCATGCATACTTAGGGAAATTTGGCATATTAGTGACCTAGTGAATAAAAATCCTACTCCCATACTGAACACAGCTCTGCTAGTTTGTGCCACTCCCAGTTATTATGACTTTAGCCACCGACTGTAACATGAGCCCTTCTTCACTCACCTGACTTAGATGAAAGTCCACTGCATTCTGAGATGAGTTACTGAAGGGTCCTGGGCTCTGGCAGGGACCTTATGCTTAAAAAAGTCATTGTGTGAAGAAGTTTAATTATCACAGGCTTGCTGTTTGGTGCAAAACTCATCAGAATTAAATATAACCCCTAAAAGTCTTGCAAAAAGTAGTGCATAAAAGAGCAAACATCATAAAGATGTATCTGCAATTTGGCTCTGGGAAAATGATTCCCATAAATCGCTTCAGAATCTGCCAGGACAAAAAGCATCCTATAAATGCTGGGATAACTTTTTCTGCTATTTATCATATTCTTGAATCTACACTTTGCTGAAAGTGAACCATGTCACTATGAATATATATGCAAAGATAGCTTTTTTTAATGCAGGATAAAATTAGAGCTAAACCGTATTAAGGAATTAAATTTTAAGCCATTTTGAACACAAAAAAACTTTAGAAAGTGTACTGAAAAATACAAGTTCTACATGTACCCTTAATTTTGAAACTGAACTCCTTGGTGAAATCTTAGTGCTATTTGAATTCAGAAGTAAAACTACCATTGGCATGAGCAAGGTCAGACTTCCACCTGGCATTTAAGATGCGTGGCAGTATTTTATATCTAGTTCAAATTTTCATTAAAAGCGAGGTCAAAATTTTTAATCTTACTAAATTATTTTGACTGCTTTGGGGATGAGTCCAGAGCAGAGGTGGGAACGGGGAGCCCAAGAACCTGCTGTTTCTTCTTGAGTTACACTGGCACAGTCTGCTGACAGTGCAGTGTGGACTCCGCAGGCTCCTGCGAATGATGCCATGTTCCCCCAAGTGGGAACAGCCCACGACCCACTGACTTCTGTCCAAAATTATCATTCCGGTGAGCGTGTGGAGCAAGGCGCGGGAGTGGGACCAGCCACCAGCTGTTCGGCAGCCAGAGCATGCCTGTTCCAGCCCTGTTTGATCCGGTTAGCTCCTCCACGTAGCACTCTTTGCTTTGGCTTGTGACAGCGAGGTTGTCACGTGTGTTTTCATCTGCTCTTAAGTAGAATGTAGGTAGCACGCATGGAGAAACTGAACGCTTTGAAAAGAAAACCTAAACTGTTCCTGGTGATGTGAAAGGGCAGGGGGTAGCTCTTAAAGACTCTCGTCTCTTATCCTGCACTAGATCTTACAGCAAAAATGCTGACGGACGACACAGCCAAGATTCGGTACAGAAAGACCACCACGGCAGCTCCTGTGCCTCGCTGCATTGTGCTGCTGACTCTGTTCCCGACTTGACTTCGGAAGCCCACAGCTCTGTTTGTTCAGGGATTGCACAACTCTGCAGGGAGAGCCAGGAAGCAAAGGTGGGTGCTTCCAATAGCTTCCGGGTCTGGTCAGATCTTCAGTGACCACTATCTCTAACCTGGAACAAAGAACCTGAACGTATCCTCCTGTCTCACTGATCAGAATCTCAGGCTGTCGCCCTAGTTCATGTAGACTGAATGTAGCGTTCCTGTTTAGAACTAGATTGCTATGCTTGATGAATTAAGCCCAAGATTTGGCAACAGGTAAAAATTTCATTGCGCAGCACACACGGCACATGTTTTAGAGGCAAGTATGGCAGGCCTCGGTTCAGGGATGATGGATCTTTTCTCAGGGATGTTGGCCAGGGTTCCAGATGGGGCTGATCGTTATGGGGTCAGGTATCCTGACGGTCAGGCACCATGGAAAAGAGCCTTCCCCTTCCTGTACTGTGCCTGCTCAATTGTAGCTCTGTTACTAGTTCAAAACCGTATGAAGCCAGCTTACACTGACAGCTGGTGCCTAGCAGTGTCATATTCTTTATCTGAAGAGCCCTGCAAACATTGTAAAGACAGACACTCATTTGTTACTTGATAGCAGGTCATTCTGCACATAGCTAATCAGTTCAGACTCAGCTGAAATCCCTTTTTCCCCTCTTTTCTCTTTTTCCACCCTCACTCCTACCCTTCTGATTCCTTTCAGTCTGGGCTGTGGGAACTTCGAGTTTTTCCACTAAAAGATGAAGAGGTAGAAGCTTTACTGTGCCAAGATCAAGTAACGAATCAGACTGAAATGTCAAGTGCAGCTTTTCCCAGCGACTCTCTCTGCACTTCATGCACACCCGTTGGTTTGCCAGACAATGGCCATCCACCAAGAAAACAATCTACCGAAGAGTCAGAAGACTGCGAAAACGTTTGCCTGGGAATCAACAATACAAGAAAACAAAGGTGACAGGGAATAATGTGGTTCATTAAGAAAGCCAATTAAGGTGGAGAAAAGTGTAAGGTAAAATCTCTTGTTCACACAGCATATGACAGCACAATTCAAAACGTGTATGTTAGCTGCATATAATATATTTTCTTTCTTGCTTTGTAACAGGCAGGATAAATCCCAAAGACAACACTTTCTTCTTCCTGAACCCCAAGAGAAAGTAATTATTTCAAGCTGGAAGTCTAATATTCCCAGTGTCGGGAGTGGGCGCACATAAATTGCTGGCACCATTCACTTTCTGTTGTCATATTGCCACATTTGTTAATAATCATCCTTTTCTGTTTTGTTTGTTTTCAAATGCATTTCTGGTTCTAGTGGATTCTGGTGCAGCAGGATATGCTGTCTACCTTAACCAACAACTTCAACTGAACACAGAAAAACTACTTGAAAAAATAACGGGGAGAAGCGATAGCCTCAGATTATTTTCCTGTGTGGCATGACCATGGGGCAGAAATCTGCCCCTCTAAATGCATGTGTGTAACCCATGCGTAAGATAAGGGTAGGCGAGAACCAGCCGTTTCAAAGCAGGCGTCCTGGAAGCCTTGCATCTAGCTTAAAATCTATATTCAGCTCTCTCAGTAGTGCCAGGGCATGTTTCATATAGATGTCCTCAAGCAATAAGATAGAAATAGACCACTGCATTTCAATAGCCGATATATCTGCTACTCAGAAAGTAGGGTTTCTGCTTCAGTCGTGTGGGTATAGAGGAACAGAAGGAAAAAGGAGTCGAGTCAAATCAGTGACGCAGCTCTTTGAATATTGTGTTTTGAGTCATCTTACTTCCTTAGTCCTTCAGTAGCTAATGAGGCTCAGAATATTTCGCTTTAATATGTTAAAGACAAAGTCTTGTTCAAATTTCTGTACAGTGCCTTGTAAGAGTCTCGTAAGTATGCCAACATTTGGTGACTAGCTGAAAAGGAAAAGATGATTGATATCTAGAAGACCAATAAAGAAAAAAGCCCTAAAGCTTTCTATTGTGATTCCGGATAGATTTTTAATTTCCCAGCGAGTTCACAGTGAGGAAACAAAAGCAAGTTGTTTAAACTTGCATCTAAATAGTGTAGTTTGGAATGTATCTGCAATCTCAAGAGGTATTAACAAAGATTAAACATTGAATGTAGGTATAATCCATGAACAGGAAGTTTTTCTGTGTAGGACAGTTGAAGGCAATTTTATAGGAGTCTCTGTTTTTGTGCAAAATTTTCTTCCACGTGTAAGATCTGGAATGGCACTGGACAGATGACCCAGTTTTAGTGACAATTTTTTTTTTTTTTTTGGTCAAAATGACAGGAATTATACACTGGGCATCTGAAAACAGTTCAGTAAAGTTTCAACACTACAACCTATTGCTACATTGTAGTTTATTGCACATTCTGATTATTTTTTTAAACACTTTTTTAACACTGGTTTGTCTTAAACTTGAATCTTGCCTCAATGTCTGATACAATAACCTTTGATGCAAGGTTGGTTTTTTAATTAAAAGTTATTTCTATATATGTTGTATATAGTCTGAATTTGATGGCCTTTTAGAAGTGAAGGAATAGCAGTAACGCTTCCTCTTGGCACAGAGACCTGCCTGGCCCAAGAATGGCTTTGCAAACACGCTGCAGTGGCAGCGGCACTAAGCTTCGCTGTCGTACGGAAGCTGCGCTGGTGCTGTCAGGCCAAGGTCCCCCCTGCGTCTGAATACAGAGGTGGATTTTTCCATCTCTCTCGTCCTGCATGTGCATCTGCTGCTGGGAGAAGGTTTCTGAAAGTTACGTGTCTCAAATGCGTTGCAGGTCTTTTCCATACCCGTATCCATTCATTAAGACGTCTGACCCAGCCAGCTCTCGCCCAGCTTTGTTGTAAGGTCAGGGCTTCCTGCTCTGTCTGACCCCTGGGGCAGCGTGAGGAGCTTCTCAAATTTAAGAGATGGGGCAGACCCGGTAAACCAGCTGGCTAGCCGCCTTACGTGGCCTGACGGGGCCGTCAGGAAATGGAAATGCAATCCAGCATTTTGCGGGAAGGAGCAAGAGGAGAGTCGTTTTCTAGATTGGGGGGTGGGAAGGGAATGCTGTTAAAATGAGGCCAAAAAAACCTGTGCGAAAGGAGCTGGATTAACCAAGTTTGGTCAGCCTGGTGGCCTGTAAAGCTGTTCCTGCACTGCTGTCCAGTTCCCAGATGTGGTGTCCTGTTGAACCGTTGTGTTGCTTTTGGGTCGGTCTCCAGTGTGCTGGCCTAAAGCAGCTGCTTGTTACCTTGCCAGCTGCAGGGGCTGCACAAGCGGTTATCAATACGAGCAAGGGTAAGCACATTTTCTTTGTCCCCTCTTTAGATGTTCTTGTCAGCCATTGTGGGAACCAGCTAGTGCCTCACAAGGCAGCAATAAAAAGGCTAGCCAAAGAAAGGCTGGGCAGCCAGGAGGCTGAAAAAAAAAAATCCCCGGAGAAACTATAAAAATGTCTATTTGGTCATAATCCCACCCCACCACCGTCAGAAGTCTTTTCTCTAACATCTGCCTCTCAGCTGGCTAGACCTGTGACAGCAAACTGCCACTGCTTTCACACAAAGAGCTGCCTGAGCGACTGCACGGCCGGAGGACTGTGCCAGAGCATTTCTTCCTCCCCACGTCCCCGCCACGGGGCTGCTCTCCAGGTGTTGGTGGCGCGCAGGTCTCTGCCATCAGGTGAGCAGCACATGCAAGTGTGGCAGGCACAGCCCAGCGGGGAGGGGTGACTAAGAACAGGCTGCGTTTGCTCCTCTCGCGTCGCCTGCCCACCTCCAGCAGCCCTTCATCTGGCAGGGGCAGATGGGGAACAACGCTGTGTGCGCATGTCAAGCAAGGTGCTTTTCGGGAAGCCCCTGGCTGCTCCTCACCCACGGCACCTCTAATCATTTGCCACCTTCTTGCAGCAGACCAGGTGCTGTGCCCTGCCCTCTCTGTCTCTACTCTGTGCATCTTTGCTCCAGCCAGTGAGGCACCCAGTTTTTCAGTAGCCCCATTTCACTACTGGGACAAGGTTAGAAAAACTTGCTTAACTGACCTTGGTCATAGGACCAGCACCCTCCTTTCATCTTCTTTCCCTGTGCTGCATGCAGCTGGAATCGGCACTAGTGCTCTTGTTTACTGCCTGCAGCCCTTCTCCCTGCAGAGCTGGACCCCGACCGCCAGACAGTGCAGTTTTTGCATGAAGGTTGGGGTCATGAGGAAGCTGCTGGTGGTGGGAGCAGGCTGAGAGCGCAGAGCCAGGCTCATGCTTGAAGCCATAAAATGTGTAAGAAACCCCTGCTTGTTTTCTTCCCTTTTCAGTTTTAAACAACAGGGGCAAAAAAAAAAACAAAACACCCCACACCAATCTGTTTGTCTTTTGGCTGTTAAGCTATGGAAACAGCTGTTAGTGCTGCTCCTAATGTGGCTGAAGGTATTACAAAGGCTGACTGAAATACCAGCTTCAGCATAATGCAGCAAGGCTCCCCCCCATGCATGAAACTGGGGTGTTGCAGCTTCACAAAGCAAGCCATTCCCCTTGCGCTTTGTTTACCATCTTCAAATGAGACTTTTTTTTTAAGGCCACTTACGTTCTGTCCCTGCTGCTATGAGGGTTTAAACACTTCATCTCTGCATCCAGGACCTTAATGGAATGTAAGTACAAATACAAACTTCTAAGCTCTATTAAAATTAAGCGCTCTGTGTGTGTCTACTGCAGTTTTTTATCTTGCTGAGGGATGTGCGCTGTACCACCCCGCGGAGCACATGTCCCAGCCCAGCCTTCCTCGGCTGTATCAGAGTTTCTTTCACCCTGTTTTCCAGCGCAGACAGAGCCTTTGCTCTGTCGGATCACCCTGGACCGCTCCAGACCATGTGACTTAGTATCACCAGACTGTGCTCTCCCTCATTGCTGAAACTTTATCAGAGTATTGCAACATCTAACGGTCCTGGGGTTTATTTGGCCCCGTGGATACCATGCAAGCAGTTCTTCTGGTTTTCATGTCGGTGTTCGGTTCAAGTCCTGCAGCTGTGGCGCTTCTGCTGTGGGGTTACGTTACTGAGTACAGGACAGGCCTAAATAGAGCCTAACAGATTACTTCTGTTAATGTACAGAGGCAAGAAACTGGAACAGTCTTAAGCATTAAAAGAACAGGTATCATTACTGTTACTTCCATGGAGGCTCTGTAGTCACTAGCAGATTTAACCTTAGATATGTAAAAAAAAGCGGCTGCAGTAGTAGCCAGCTGCATAAACACACCTGGGTGGGATTTAGCCGGAAAGAAGCAATTGAGTAATTTTACTGTGTGTGTAATTGCTCTCTCCTGCAATATTCCTGAGAGTCAATGGAAGTGCAAACTACCGGATTTAAAACAATGACAAAGTGACAACACACTCTGAAAGAAAACATACCCTATGATTTTGTGCTTAGAACAAAGCATAGTACTGTCAATTAACTAGCATGACTTCGGGTGTCCACCTCCCCCAAATTAATTAGGAAAAAAAGCAAAAAATTGTTTGATCACCCTTTCAAACCGGCTTAAGGTCAACTGCAGAAGACAAGGCTTCTGCTGTGGGGTTACGTTACTGAGTACAGGAGGACAGGCCTAAATAGAGCCTAACAGATTACTTCTGTTAATGTACAGAGGCAAGAAACTGGAACAGTCTTAAGCATTAAAAGAACAGGTATCATTACTGTTACTTCCATGGATGCTCTGTAGTCACTAGCAGATTTAACCTTAGATATGTAAAAAAAAGCGGCTGCAGTAGTAGCCAGCTGCATAAACACACCTGGGTGGGATTTAGCCGGAAAGAAGCAATTGAGTAATTTTACTGTGTGTGTAATTGCTCTCTCCTGCAATACTCCTGAGAGTCAATGGAAGTGCAAACTACCGGATTTAAAACAATGACAAAGTGACACTCTCTGAAAGAAAACATACCCTATGATTTTTGTGCTTAGAACAAAGCATAGTACCATCAATTAACTAGCATGACTTCGGGTGTCCAACACACTCTGAAAGAAAACATACCCTATGATTTTGTGCTTAGAACAAAGCATAGTACTGTCAATTAACTAGCATGACTTCGGGTGTCCACCTCCCCCAAATTAATTAGGAAAAAAAGCAAAAATTGTTTGATCACCCTTTCAAACCAGCTTAAGGTCAACTGCAGAAGACAAGGCTACTACAGCTGTTGTCCTACTGCTGGCAATAGCATGAACAGTCACACTTCCAAATCCTAAAGTAACATTTTCGTAGCCCGTTTGTGGCTGACACCAGAGCTGTGACTGCTTCTCTATGCGCACTGTATTAGACTACACAGGTTCTTTCCAGAAGAACGAATAAGCTTTAACCCATCTAACAGCCATTTGGACTATTACCTTTCCTAGCCAAGCCTTCCTTTGGCAAACCGCTTCTGAAAGAGGTCTTCAGGGCAGGAGGTCCAGATGACCCCATTTTTCTTTGGCTAGTTCTCAAATGGGGTTGCAACTGGAAACAGGAAGCAAAGACATTTGTTCACCTGAACCACAATTAGCCACACAGGAAAAAGCAGTAGTTTAGCCATTTCAGACGCGTGTCTAGATTGTCTGAATTAGCCCTAGCTCCTCCTACTTAACAGCGGCAGTGCCCCACGCAGCCATCTCTTCCACAGCCAGCGAACAGAGGCCTGTCTGTGGGGCACCTCGCAGGTCCTGGGCCTAGAAGGGGCTGCGGGAGCTCTCGCACCGCCTCAGCATTCAGTAGGTGACGCGTGCCCAGCTGTGCTGCAAGGACAACAGATTTGACTTCGGCCTTGTGGAAAGGGACTGGCTGCAGCTGTTGCGCCTTCTGGCCTGTTCCTTGGGGCAGCAGACTGTTGCAACCTTTCTGTAATTACAACTTAAAGGGGAAAAATACCATGCTGAATACCATGAAATATTAAAGGAGTCAGCAACACTAATTAGAGCCATGGGAGGCAGGTCTAGCTAAAATGACCTGCTCTGGTCTTCCTCTACTGGGCTGTAACCTTCACCTTTCACATGCCCAAACAGGCCGGGCTGTGAAGCTGGCACAAGCAAATTGAAAGTATGAGAACTATTTGGCTTCATAACTGAGAGGAGCGTCGAGCCGTTTGAGGGAGCTGTCTCCATGCAGCGCATGTCAACCTACATACACGGAAACCACTTCGGTAGGTAACATTCCTGTATGTCACTATCTTAATTGTTTACTCAGGCATATGTACAAACCGAGGAGGCTGTGGGTCAAGAGAAAGTTTTTTTAACATCTGTAGGGTTTTAAAGCAACATTCTTCTATGGAATTCCGTCACTTCCAGGCATTTCAGACACAGTTGTCTTAACTGGCTATTTGAAAGGTAAATGAGAAGGTATTTCCGTTTGTGACCTGGTAAGATGTTGCACTGACTTGTTTGATATTTGATGTACATAAGTACTTCTATGCCATAAAAACAAAACCTAGGAACATTTCTAGCAGCCGCGGGATTTTTTAGCCCTCTTGAACTGCATTTTTCCCAAACTTACTCCCCAAAACCACTCATTTTTGACAGTCAGCTTAAAGGAGACTTGCCACACCAAGAGAGGGGTGTTTAATGCAGATAGATACTGGAAAACTTTTGTAGGAATGCACAGATCAAATGACAAAATACAGACAGCAGAAGGCAGTTTGATTAGAGTCTTCCACAAGAGAGATTGCTTGTGGTGGTGTTACACTCTTCTAGCAAGCAAAAAACTGTCTGAAGTTGAGTTCAGTCCAGTCAGCGTTACAGGTTGTGCCATAAAATTAGCCTCCACAGAATCAAGAGACAGGTTCAAACCACTTCCATCCCTGAAAGACAGCCAGAATGTTTTTCACTGCTGCTTGCTTCATTGCAGCGAAGGAATGATTCCTCTGTTCAGCAGCAACAAGTTTCCATAATTAATGTTCATCCAGCCCTCCCTTACGCATGAGAAACAAGGGTTCTCCTGCACGCACAGAGCCTTCTTGAACACTGCTTGGGTAGGTCTCATCGATCCAGACAGCGCTTTTGAGCTGCTTCTGAACACACATTCCTTAGAAGATTGATCACAGATCTTGGATCTGCGCTCTTCATAATAGCACTGCCAGATACAATCATATTTGCACCTGCCTGAAAGACATTAAACACCCACTCAGTAACATGGAACAGATCCACTTCTTACAGAGTGTTCTTGCTGTAAAACACATCAGGACGTAGCGAGTTCTAGGCTGGTGGGCAAACAAGCGCTATTTGTGGGACACAGGTAACATACCTCTAACTACAACCACAAATCAAGTTCAGAAAAGACAGCTCTTCCCCAAATAGGTAATTTCTTCATCATTGCTCCTATTTACCCAAACATGCAAGAAGAAACAAACAACTTCTCTAGCTTAAGGGAGGCTCCAGTAGCCACTATTAAAAAAGGCACAAGATTAGACCTCAAGTAGATTTTGACATTAAGGATGCTTTACTGTTCCCTCTGAAAACTAATGGTCAAAATACAGTTCCTCCTAAGCTTTGTTTTCCGAGGGACGATTCAGTCTCTTAGCCACAGTAACTGCGAGTGCTGCTCCGCTTCAGCTTCTCTCTTACCTCTGCGCACTTATGGATGGTGTCAGGCCCAACTCCGCCATCCACTTCAATATCCAGCGACGGAAACTGTGTCCTCAGCCACTGAACCTGAGAAACGGTACAAAAAGGTTGGCACCGAGATCCACACTCAGCTGCTACAGCTACGTAGAGCTTCTTACACACCCAGACAAGGTTTATTCGCTTTGCCACTACGCTCCATGCTGTTAACTAGCTTTAAGCTCAATAAATAGAAAACTTGGTTTCCGTTTGGCATCATGTCTTCCATAAATTTCTGCCCTCCGAATCCAGGTTCTACTGTCATCACCAAAGCCATGTCTATCTGATTGGCCCAAGGTGCCAAGTGTTCAACTGTAGTGCCAGGCTTGATGGCCAGGCCAACCTGCAAGAGTGGCAAGACAAATCCAAGCACGCCTCAGGGTGACACCGACGCAGCAAGACGGGCTTGAGCGGGGTACAAACTCCTAGGGAAGTAATTATGTGTCTGTGGCAGTGCAGTAAGAATAGGCCGCTTTACACAAAGATTCCCGATTTTCTTAAACTGAAGACTGACTTTGCACACAAAGAGCCGGAGGGCCGTGCGCGCCAATCTCTGACCACCCGAAACCGCAACGATGGGTTCTTCATTGCCAGAAACTCGGCGGCCGGGTCAGCCGGGCGTGGGGTGCTATGCAGGCCTAGGCGCCTGCCAATCTCTGACCACCCGAAACCACAACGATGGGTTCTTCATTGCCAGTAACTCGGCGGCCGGGTCAGCCTGGCGTGGGGTGCTATGCAGGCCTAGGCGC